CAATCCTCTGGCAAGGTTGAGAAAATTAATTCAGTCCTCAATCAACACCTCACTAAGTCTTGAGGTCTGAGAAACCTGGGTCACCCTACTGCCTTAGCCTTCATTCGCATTCGATCAGCCCTTCGAGCCCCCATATTCCTCAACCCTTTCGAGCTTATATATATGGCAGACCCTTCCTACTCTGAAACTTCCCAACTGCCTCTAGCCCAGTGGTTCCCAACCTTTCTTAGGTCATGTTCCACCTAAGCATCTCTAAAATCCTTATCTCCCCCTATGACATATAATTCTTATTATTCAAAAATGAACTCCTATTCACATGAAGGAAGCCTAAAGGGCCATTAACTTGGTCTAAACAAGCTTCCAAAGAACATGGCATCCATGAAAATATATATATAAAAGAACTAAAGGACTGTTGAAATACTGAGGAAGAAATCACTAAGAAATTATTAAAAATTAATAATATGAAGTGATATGAAAAAATAGCAAATAAAGTTTTAAAATATGAGAACTGAAATGCATAAATATGTTACAATATATCTTAAATGCTATATATGAGGCCCCAGAAGAAATGCAAAAAATTCACTGTTAATAATTCTCGAATTGTGCCCCCCTTAAAAATCAAATTGCCCTTTGTGGGGTGTGTGCCCCACATTGGGAACCTCTGCTCTAGCCCTTTGAGAGATTATCTCTGCACCCTCAACCTCACTTGACACCTAATTCAGCAGCATGCCAGCCAGTTCTTCTCAGGGCTACCACTGTCTCTCTCCTTGATCCTCCACTACAGTCGGGAAACTGGGTATTTCTCCAGGCATCCTACAGCACCTGAAAGGACAGGTCCACAGCAGGCACTCCTGACCACACCAACAGTGGCCAAGCTACGGGAATATCCATCCTGGGTCTACTCCTCCAAATTGAAGTGAACCCTGCACTGCAGACTCTATCATCAACCAGCTTATAGCTGAGTGTCAGCCTCGGATCGACTAGCCTCAAATTGACAAAAATTTCTGAAGAACTGTAAGCCCTGGACCCTTACTCTTCTCCCCTATGAGCCAGGCTTCCCCCAAGGCTTATTCAAACCATTCACATTTACAAGGTCTTCTGACCAACAGTAGGGTTGATCTTAAAAACCGTATCTTTCAATCTACTGTCCTGTTTGTGCTGGTCCCTGTGTTTGGCCCCTGCCCTGGCCAGCTCCCCCATATCCTGCCTTCACGCACACACCCACCCACCACTGCAGAACACTTACCCTATCCTTCCTCAAAGAAGTCCCTTCTCCTTTACATCCCAGGACTGAACAAAGTTACTGACCTTCTTGTGGGATTGTTATCTGCAGGGAGATTTCAAAGACTTTTCCTGGGACCAGATAAGCTGGCTAGAAGTCAACTCTGGGGACTAACTTAACTAGAATTTAGCCTGGGAGGCCCTTACTCACTCTGTATTCTGGCTGGTAGTACTCCTGAGTCCCCCCTTGTCATTTTTTATTTTTTATGAGCCACTGCCTTATATACCATCTGATTGAAATTACACCCATATCTGTTAGAGTCTACAATGATCCCCCAAGCCTTCTCCTCCTCTTACTGTGTATGCAGGTCTACCCTATACTTCTTAAACATCTAAGTCTTCACTATCTCTCTAGAACACTCAACCTAACATATCACCTCCTCAACACCACCAACCCCACTCTCGTGCAGGGCTGCTGCTCTGTCTTCCCCTCTCATCAATGAGCTACACGGCACCCCAACTTCCATATATATACATGGGCCAACTCCACTGTAAAGTACATGGAGGCCCCTGTCCCAACTCGTGTGCCTCGGTGAATTTTAAAACTTCCAACGCACAGAAATGACAAGAGGAATGCTCACAGGCAGAGCTGTTCAGTTACTCCAGTCATATTTAAACAACATAACTGAATTCTTATCCAACAGTCTCCATCTTAGGACCAGTTACAACCAACACTGTCCTGGCATATCAGGCACCTCTTTGCATGGACAGAACACTCCCTGCAGGAAGTTTTGGGATGTCTTGATCAACGTTTATGCAACTTTACTTTCAACTTTCAAACTTCAGCCTTCCTCCAACTGGGCTATTTCATAACCCAACAGCCCCTTTTCTGAACCCATGTGCCTCCCCATTTGATTATCAGCCTGGCCCATCATCTCAGCAACCTTCCCAACGACCCATACCTCCCAGTTCTGTTTAGATTGACCCCTTTCCTGCGCTAGCTATTTCCCATGGCAGAGCTGCAACTCTCAATTACAATCTAACTGCCGTCAACTCCCCTCCCACAGACTCACAGATTCTAAGTTTTGGATGGAGACGGAGAGGAAACACATCTTTTTTGAGAACACCACCACTGGGGCTACACAGGTCAATCCCAAAGGCCCTTTCCAGCCCCTTATGGCGGCAACCTTGGCTGGAACTTTGTCTGGGAAAATGAGAACAACAAGGTCACTAATCTCTTCACCAGTGAGAACACTTTCTGCTTAGAAAATCACACAGAATCTTTTTTCTGTGTGACACCAATACCTGTCTCCCAGCCAACTGGACTGGGACATGCACCCTAATCTATCTTGGCCCAAATTAGACATCGCCCCTAATAATCAGTCCTTTAAGTTTCCTCTCACTGCTCAGTCCTGGTCTCTTCTGGTGACAATATGACTGAATACATTAATATAATTCAGAACAAAGTAGTAAACATCTACAAGAACATGTTATATAATTCTAGCGAGTCCCATAATACTCCGTTTTTTAAAGAAAAGAAACCAGACTGTCAAACCTCAGAAGGAAGGCAGGGGCGGTAGGGGGTAAGAGATCAAAGGACTTGTATGCATGTATATAAGCATAAGCAATGGACACAGACAGAAGGGGGGTGAGAGTATGTGCTGGGGGGTAGAAGTGGCCAGGGAGAAGTCAATGGGAGAAAAAGGAGGAATATATATTTTAAACAATAAAGAATTTAAATATTTTTTTAAAAAGAAAAGAAACCAGACATAAAAATGTTAAATTCAGAATCTGATTTTCAAATGTCCAATAAAAACAGAAATTTGCTCACTGTGTAATCCAGAATGAGTTCTCTAACTGATGCTACAGTGCTTATTGATTCCAAAAACACACTAACTGCAAATCAGACCATTTGGAAGTAGCATTAATCTGTCTGATCAACGAACACTTCAAGTCCTGCTATGACTTCTCTTTTAGAAACTGAGCTCTCTGTGGTCGCTTTAGCACTGTACAAGCTCAGCACCTAGGAATCCTTGGCCAAGAGTCACCAGGTGGAAAGACACAAGCAACTAAGATTTTACCTCTCTACAGAACAAAACTCACCACCTTCCTATAAATGTGTTTCTGAACCAAGCTGCTAAGATGTTCAGCAGCTGATTGGAAGTACAGAGTCAGTCATCTGCCACTGTACTATACAGCCCCAGGCTGTTGAGGTTTTAAATTCTTGCTGCCATGAACGGCTCTTGGTTCAGAAACTGAGGCCTTAAGAAGGAAAGAAGTGTGTCCAGGATAACCCAGTGCCTCAGGAACAGATGTGGAACTAAAGTCCCAGCCACTGAGCCTGAGTGTTCAGGTTTTTCTCCCTCTTCTCCATCTGGCCACCTTTGTAGAGGCTCAATCGCAGGACAAGCTACTTCTCTAGAGATTACATCACTGGATTCTACCTGCTGGGAGTAGATGATGTGGGCATGTGCACATTGATGAGTTTGTGTAAAATGCTAGTAAACAGATGAGGGAAGATCTGAGGGTTCTCCCTGCTGATTACACTGCCAGGAGAGCAATTCTGGGCAGCCCCTTTTCCATTCTTTTATATTCCTTCTGGGATTGTTTTACAGAGGTAGGATGGAAGACAAGTGAACCTTGATGGGGAGAAATTAGTGCACCTTGGCTTACTGCAAAGGAATCTTGGCTTCTAAAGGTGTTAGACATCATTGCAGGAGTCTTGGTTTACAAATTAACACCATATGAAAATGGTCACTGCAGTGTTTTCTGCAATAGTCCTTGGTCATTGCTATTCTACTAGCAGAGACCAGGACCTAGATAAGAGTGGCCATGGATGCCTGCTCTGCCTCCCTGAGGGGCAGGGGCACTTTCCATTTGCTTATACTTACTCATTGGGCTATCAGAGAAGAATATCAGGGAAGGGGAAGGAAAAAAAAGGACATGAGTTCTAGGAGGCATCTATTATTTTCATATTCCCAGCATCATACTCTTCCTTAGGGGACCCATCCTGTTCTTCAGACCAAGTGCTGCAGCAGAGTGGACTTCACACCCTGGCTTCAGTAGGCCACTTGAGTTGGATGGGTGTTGGTCTGGGGCTTTGACTATACCACCAAGAATAAGGTACTTTCTTTCTGTTGTGGCTTCTGAAAGAAGGATATAAACCTACAGCCCCAGGGACAATTACCTAAAGTGAGCCTACATGAGAATGAAGTCAAGCCAGAGGTAAACAGGGCTGAGCAATGGAGACTCCAAGGCCCAAAACAACCTCTGAGTCTCTGGATCCAGCCATGCCTGAAACCCAACTCTACCTCTGATATTTATAGTGCCATTAGGTAATACCTTAAAAACAATTAATCCATTTTAAGTTAGAGTTCTGTCACTTGAAAATAAAAAGCACTAACAAATAAAGATAAAACTGGTAGAACAGACAATTACATTTATGGCTATAGTTATCTGGAAGCAGTTCAAGTTTGTCCCCTGGAAATAAAACAAGGTGACACATGGGGATCTGCTCCATTTTTTCATATTAAGCTCAGCTCATCAGAACTGCAGCTCTGCCTAATTACTGTGATTAATCTCACCAAATTCTAAATATAAAACGAGTGTGCATTTTTCTGATGTTTGATGATAGTGCAACGGTCATGAAGAGAAGAAATGAGCCATTACCGAGTAAAGACAGCTTTTAAGAGAAATCTTTTTTTTTTTCTTTTCTTTTTTTTTTTCTGACCAAATGCAGTTATAACTGGGCAAAGGAGAAAAGGTCACGGCGATCTTACCTGGCATGGCATGGATGAGGTCCCCACACAGAACAAAGAATCTGGGCTTGGGGTTCAGCTTGTTGATGGCCTGAATGGCTTGCTCAGTTAAACGGATCTCCTGCTCCCACTCATCTCCACCATTATCACAGTCCCCAGTGGACCAGGCCTTCATCAGTCCAAACTGTGGGTCTGCACCCTGGATGAAGTAGAAAGGACCTTTCCATTCCCTTTCCTGTTCTTTAAAAAAAAAAAAAAAAAAAAAAGGAAAGAGGAGAAATATTATTAAGGCTGCTAGGGAAAGCATCCAGGTTACCGTGCAAGTAGATATGATATTTTTCTTAAATTAAGTAGGTCATTTTAATAAGCTGCTGTTCAAACATACCATTTTCCTGTCATAGTCTAGAGGATGTTGATTTATACTAATTATGCCTGGGACCTGGAGTTTCCCAAAGGCCAGGACAAACCACGTGGGCCTCACAGCCATGCAACAAGCTATTTGTTTAAAAGCCTGCTGGCCAAAATGGGGCTCAGAGGCACAATAGCCCACTATAGAGGGGATATTAATGTTCAATAATAGGTTTTTAATTAGAATTTAAAAAACCCAACTGAAAGCTGCCAGAAGTATTATATTTAAATTACTAGGTGAAGTACTCTCAAATCTTTTAGCCAGGCTTAATGGCACAATTTGCACTGTTTCACGGGATGTGACAGAATTTCAATTATAAAACTTGGAGCTCAGAAGCTCTGGCTATCTGGTGGGATATGCTGTGCCAGAAATGAAATGTTGAAATGAGTTAGTCGATGTGGAAAAAAAAAATCGATGCTAACATTTCAAAGGCAGCATGATGTGGGCATAAGTGAGGTGTGATGATGGGGGAAGGGAGTAGGGGAGGGAAGAGAAGGGATTCTTGGAAAAGGGAACTAGGTCACATGCACTGAAATGATCAGGGTTGCTTTTCTATTGGTTCCGCTGGCCCAAAGCTTCACCAGCCACAGGTATGTACCCTTTTCTGCCAAAGAACCACAGCCAGTGCCTGCTTTTTCAGAGCTGGAAAGACCATTGATGGGCATGAAATCCCTGTGGATTGCAAACTTTTTTTTTTCTTTTTTTTCTTCTTTTTTTGGCCACACGGTCCTTTCTTCAACCAAAACCTCAGGTGGCAGACCAATGCTGTAAACATGGAGCTGTCCCTGTCCAACTGGGATCTGGGGATGGTCCAGTCTGAAGCCCCTGATCTGCAGCCCTGGTGTTTACCCTCCAAGGGGACTGAAGCCCAGAGCAGTGACCTGCCTGGCCCAATGGCCCAGCAGCAATCAGTGACACGGATAAAACTACCCCACTATCTTAAAACTGTTTTCTTTTTAAAGATAAATTAATGTATTTTCCATGTTAATCGAGTAAGTGGCATTTCTTTTGGAAGTCACGAAAACGTTATAATTTCTAAAACTCATTGGAATAATCTCACGTCTCCATGATTGACTCATTCATTTACTCAGTAGGCACTTACCGAGAGCCTCATTTCCCAGGCCCCATTCGGAGTGCTGACCATACAGGGATGGACCAAAGACTGGTGAGGTCTCCTCTTTGGGCTTAGTTCTCATGGGGGAGATAGACAAGGACATAAGCAGACAACTGAGCCACAACGTGCCAAGGACTATGTGAGGATGAAGAAGGAAGTGATGGGTAATTTAAATTGGATGGAGGGGGAAGGCCTGAGATGGTGTCTTTAAGCTGAGATCTGTACAGCAAGAAGGAACCAGTTGTATGTAACCTTTTAAAATCCTCTCACCCACCAAACTTAGCTTGCTATCATCTTAAAGTGGACCTCTGGCTTTAGGCTCTCTTTCCTTCTTAATTTCTTTATCAGAACTTAAAAGTCAGCCATGCAATCAAACGTAACCACCTGTACATACTTTACAGAACAAAGTGTACATGCATGATAATCCACCAGTTCTTGACCTACAGCTCAGAGTGATATAGCAGCTGCTTGGTGAATCACAGCCAACCTGAGCTCAATCTGAACAAGGACTGAGGGAAACCCTGGTGTCTGCATCTCCCTGCTAAGGACAGTGAGGGATCCTACAAGATAATGGATTCAACTCATTCGCTGAGCCCTTACTATGTGTCACAAAGGCCCCAAAAACCCCTTTGTCACAATACATCCTTGTGCAGTCCCTCCTCTTGAGTGTGGGCTGGACCTGGTGACTTTCTCCTAATAAACAGAATACGGTGATATTTTATTAAAATAAAAATTTCATTATTACTTGTTTATTTAGTGAAATCTTAGCTAGAATCTCAATTTTATGATAATAATGTACAAAATAGATTTGACCTAAAATGTATGATAACTCACATTTCACTATTCTATTTACCTTACGTCCTTAATAAAGGAAATTTGTTGACTCAGAACTCTGTATTTTCAAAAGCACCTGGATTCTCTTAAGATCCCTGCTATAGAAGCTGGTGGTCTTTGGTCTCATTTTAACTCTAATAAAGACTGAATTAAAGACATTTGAAGCCTGCAATCCTTAGTTCTAAAAGGAAGAATATAATATTTTGTATACATTTATACTTCCCCCAACCCCTCAAAAGGGCAAATTTTTATGAGAACAAATTAACATTTGCATTAAATTATTTCACCAAAGTCCAGAGTTATCTGCCGAGCAGGGCATAGGTATTAGTTAGCTGACATCTACAAGGGCCTGAGGAGAGCTGTGATGCTTTCCCTTCCAGGGCAGAGCAAGTGTCTGCCCCCTGGAGGAGCCCAGATGCTCTCTTCAGACTCCCTGAAGCACTGTTCTGACAGTTCAAGCTGTAGAGTTCGGATATACTGAGGTCCCTTCCTAAAGCACCCTGATACACCATGAGCAGTAGAAAGGGCACTTTAAAGATCCAGTAGAGGGGAAAGGGTAGTTTTTTTTTTCCCCTAGTCAACTTCAATATGAGACTGCCTGGTTAAAGAGTAATGAATGACCATCTCAATTAAGCAGAATTGCCTGGAAATGGAGACAAAGGCAGAGAGAAAAGGCAAGGGAGACAGAGTGACAGTGAAGCAGGCTGCATGGGGCCCAGAGGGCGGGATTGCGCTAACACTTCAATCCTCAAGGTGTCAGCGCACCTCAAACCAGCAGCAGCATCACCACCGGGGAGTTAGTCTGTGGGAAAGGCAGAATGTTAAGCCTACCCCAGAATTTAGAATCTGCATTTTAACAAGTCCCATGTGATTGAATGCAAATCCAAATGTGAGAAGCACTGGCCTGCGATTAATTGAGGAACTGTTATTTTGTATATGTCCCTATTCATTTTTAGGTCCTTGTCTGTGACCAGCTCAGGTATTTGGTCCTAAACATTTCTTAGTATTATTAATCCCTATCTAATCGTCAAAATTGCCTGTACCACTGAGCTAAGTGAGCCCTTTCATGGCAGCCCAAAGCCTTACCTTACAGAAGCCTACCTTTTCCCAATGAAGAACCTGACATTGTCAGTGATGGAAGGTTCACAAAGTTACTTTAACCAACCCTCTCATTTAACAGAGGCCCAGCTAGGGATCTTAGTCATGGCTCACGTTCAGTGAGTTAATAAGCAGTCACACAGTTAATAAGCAGCAGCTTTCATTGTTCAGAATCTCAGTGCAGCCGGGCCAGTCTGAAGAGGAGACACAAAGAAGATGGAACGTGCCCGAGCTGCCCGGAAGTTGTCTGCCTCCATGAGGACACTTTTGTCTCCAAAAAGTCTCCTTTGAATGGAACATTTTGGTAAACAGGAAGACTGGACACAAAGATAATGCTGGCAAGGCCCCAAACAATTTCCTGGTCCGCTGTGATGCTCACAGTTCCTGCCAACAGCACAGGGCTGAGACGGAGTACAGGTTGGGGGCGGGCACATTCATCTTCTGCGGGATGCTAACTGGTGATTTCTCCAGAGATTCCAAACTCCAAATCTTTGGATATGATCTGGTTAGCAGATGTGTTCTATTTGGCTCATACAGGTTTTATAAAATTTCAAATTTGTTGCCAAGATTTAAAAAAAAAATGTTTTTTTATTTTTTTAAGGGAGATAGAAACATTTGATCAGCTGCCTCCTGCATACCCCCTACTGGGGTCGAGCCCACAACCTGGGCATGTACTCTGATAGGGAATCAAACCAAAGACCTCTTGGTTCATGGATTAATGCTCAACCCCTGAGCACACTGGCCGTGCTGTTGTTGCCAACATTTTTAATCATGAGTTTCACATATACACTGAGTGTCCAGATTATTATGATCTCTGAATGCATAATAATCTGGCCACTCAGTGTATATCCTATACTAGAGGCCTGGTGCACAAAATTCGTGCATGGGGGGGGGGGGTCCCTCAGCCCAGCCTGCACTCGTTCCAATCTGGGACCACTTGAGGTATGTCCGACTGCCCGTTTAGACTCGATCCCGCTAGGGCATAGGTATTAGTTAGCTGACATCTACTGCCCATTTAGGCTTGATCCCGGTAGGGCATGGTATTAGTTAGCTGACATCTATTGCCCGTTTAGGCCGATCCCGGTAGGTGTTAGCTGACATCTACAAGCGCCTGAGGAGAGCTTGTGATGCTCTCCCTTCCAGGGTAGAGCAAGTGTCTGCCCCTGGAGGAGCCCAGGTGCTCTCTTCAGACTCCCTGAAGTACTGGATCAGGCCTAAACAGGCAGTCGGACATCGCTCTAACAATCCAAGGCTGATGGCTCCCAACTGTTCACCTGCCTGCCTTTCTGATTGGCCCTAACTGCTTCTGCCTGCCAGCCTGATCATCCCCTAACCACTCCCCTGCCAGCTTGAATGATGCCTAACTGCTCCCCTGCCAGCCTGTTTGCTCTTAACTACCCTCCCTTACAGGCCTGATCACCCCTAACTGCCCTCCCCTGCAGGCCTGGTCCCCCACAACTGCCCTTTCCCTACAGGCCCGGTCGCCCCCAACTTCCCTCCTCTGCCGGCCTGGTCACCCCTCACTGACCTCTCTTGCAGGCTTGATCTTTCCCAACTGCCCTCCCTTGCAGGCCTGGTCCTTCCCAACTGCCCTCCCCTGCTGGCCATCTTGTGGCAGCCATCTTGTGTCCACATGGAGGCAGCCATCTTGTGTTTTGGAGTGATGGTCAATTTGCATACTACTCTTTTATTAGATAGGATAATAAAAGGCTAATATGCAAATTGTCTCTTCAACCAGGAGTTCGACCAGCAGGCAGGCTGGCCAACTGCCCATGTGCCCTCCCC